GTAAGCAGATAAATTGTCTAAAATTTCTGTCTCAAATCAAGTTTATAGTGCATCATGAATTTAGGCTTGTTCGATCAAAGTTATATTAGGAGATATTAGGAAAATAGTTCGGTCGGCCGGAAGGGAGTCCAGACTGGGTGTGGTGTGGAGGCAGGATCACCGAGAGACTCGAGATGCTTGTGAGAGTAGTGTACTCATCTAACCGCCATCCAGTAGGTGCCACCGGTAGAAATACATATATTATGATTGGCTACTGGGACACGTCATACACACGGTTGGATTGTTAATTCGGTTGAAGTACCTTTACATCCATTATCACCATAATCTGAACATGATTTATTAAAAATTTGCAATATCGAAAACGAAAAATCTGAATAAACTGAAAATTTTGAAAATGAAAGCTGCACTCAATTGATGGAAGGAAAAAATTTACTCATAACTAGCAAGGTAAAAACTACAAATGAACGGCAGATTTATAAATCTGCTGATAAAAATTAGATAAAAGACATGGTAACTGATAAGAGTTTGAAATTACACGTAAGCAGATAAATTGTCTAAAATTTCTGTCTCAAATCAAGTTTATAGTGCATCATGAATTTAGGCTTGTTCGATCAAAGTTATATTAGGAGATATTAGGAAAATAGTTCGGTCGGCCGGAAGGGAGTCCAGACTGGGTGTGGTGTGGAGGCAGGATCACCGAGAGACTCGAGATGCTTGTGAGAGTAGTATACTCATCTATATATATATATATCGTCTCGCTTTATATATAGTAAGATTGGAGGAGAAATGTCCCGTTCAAATCTGTGTTGAAATGAAGGGAATCGACCAATAATTAAGCTTTGTTTTGACCTTAATTAATTTTGCAGAGACAGGTTGCAGAGACGAAACTAAATTCGTCGCTCACTCTTGGGATTGATACCACAAGCGGAACTGCATCTTCCAATTACAAATTATTTAAACCGTCACTAAACCACCGAATGGTTCCTTGTAGTAGAGGCTCTTACGGGCAAAAAGACGTGTTTTCTGCTACGAGTTTAGAGACCTAACCGCTAATTGGACACAATAGTATGATGTCTAAGGATCGATGATATGTTAAGAAGTATAAATTTGGCCTTATTAGTCACGTGCTATACCAATGCGCGTTTTAAACTTTGACAGTCTATTACTCTAAGGCAAATAGAGTAATTATATTCATATTTTGTCAGCAATAAGATCACATTATTTTCTATTTAGTGTGAAAATATGAGCTAGAACGGACATAATCTCGCTGAGTTATAGCTGTTTGAAATTTATGATGAACGCGCGGGTGCCAATTGATAACAACTAAATGCTTTTGCGCGTAGTGCGCGTCGAAAATTTGGCAAAAACGCTTGCGGAGTGAAAATATTCAAACTTCGATAAAGTATATGAAGTGGGTACTTCTCGGAAAGGAAAAATTTAGGCAAACACGATGTGACTATTTTTGGGTTGATTTAATACAACTGCAAAAAATTATTCAAACTTCAAGCAAAAAAGTCAAAATTTTTACCACTTTTTTGGATTTTTACCTCAGAACAAATAGAGGGATTTGTTTTATTTTTATACAATCTTGTGCGGCTGTCTTTTAGCTATCTTTATGCAAGTTTTGCCGACATGCCAACAAAATTAACTTGCTCAAAATATCAAAAAACATGGTTTTTTGGCCTATTTTTGGCCCAAAAATCGGTTTTTTGCGATTTTACCCCAGAACAATCAGTCCAATCATCTTGAAACCACTTTCAATCGATTCTACGGTCAAAAATACGTCTAGTAAGGTGTATCTGGGGTCCCTAACGTATCGAGCAGACAATGCCCGTAAGAGCCTCTACTATTGAAAAATACGCCATCTTCGAAAACTAATTTAGAAAAAATAGCTTACAACCGGGAGCCGACCTTATTACGTAAATGTGGCACTGTGACACTTGTGGCACTAACATGTGGCACTTGCGACACTCACATGTGGCACTTGCGACACTCACATGTGGCACTTGTGGCACTATCATATGTAGCATGTGGCACTTGCGGCACTCACATGTGGCACTTGTGGCACTATCATATGTAGCATGTGGCACTTGCGGCACTCACATGTGGCACTATCATATGTAGCATGTGGCACTTACGGCACTCACATGTGGCACTTGCGGCACTTTAATTTTGGTGGTAAGATATTTATATATTTCCATATAGTGATTTGATACTTTGTAGACATGTGTGATGATGTTATGTCATAATTTTTACTTTACTTTACTTTACTTTACTTTACTTTCATATGCAGCATGCGACACTTGCAGCACTAAAATGCGCACTTGCGGCACTTTCATTTGTAACATGTGGCACTTTTGGCACTAAAATGCGCACTTGCAGAACTAAATTATACCTTATCGGGCCTTACTTAAACGGATATAATTATGAACGGACATTAATACGAACGCTAGAAAGCAATCAAAACCATCAAAAATCCGAATTTTTCATCTTTTTTTTACGTTTTTTGATTTAAGCAAATGATTTTTAAATCAATCGTTCATACAGTAAGCAAGAAAAGCAATCTTAAATCAGTTAACGTGTTAAAATATGTGTACATGATTATTGTCTTATATCACATATCATCTTCATCAAATGGGTTTTCGTGCATTAAAAATTCCATGCTTAAAGCATCAGTAATACCCACTTTTTGGAAACATTTTTTATCAAACTACCTCGGTCCTTTAAGTGTCAACTTTTACTAGCCATTCAGCGTTAAGTGGTTTTTATCTTAGAAAACTTTAGGTTAACCTTAACATCACGTGGATCTTTCCCAGCACTTATCTGTTTCATTATCTCCCCTAAGTTAACAAGTTTGTCATGTTGGCGGGGACTAACTCATGAACTATGTTATTTAGTGCCATAATTTTGTTGACTTTTTCCGTCAAGTGACCCTTGAAAACATCATATATACTAGAAAACATCATATATACTAGAAAAGTTTTCTGTGCCTCCGGCAGAACAACGAGAACCTCAGAACTTTTCTGTCGTTAACTTACGGCACAATGAAGTTCTCATAGTTGACATATTCTAGACAAAAAGTTCGAAATGGAAACATTTTAGAAAAAATTTAACGGACTTTAACTTGGACGGACATTAAATGAACGGACTTTATTTGAACGGACATTAAAATGAACGCTAGGGCCTCCAGCGTTCAAGTAATGTCCGTCCAAATTAGGTCCGATAAGGTATGTAATATGTGACACTGTTAGTACTGTTATATGGCACATTATCATATCATTTAACTTTTGGACACGAAGGGAAACACACATGTAAGGCTTACAATCTCCGTAAAACTACATCATTAGAGCCTGTAAAACTAAAACATTTAAGATAAGCACTCTATCAAGTAAAATTCATATCATCATAGTTTATTTAAGTTTAACTCAAACGTACAACTACAAATTGTAACAAAGGCAAAATTTAATCAAAGGGCAAAATTCATAGCATGTTAGAATTCTTATTTAAGTATATTATATCCTCTACAGCTTCTTCTACAGCTTTATTTGTAAATACGACCGATTCTATCAAATAATCCAGGTTGCAAGTAAAGATTACAAATTTGTTAAGATGCACTGAGTGAAATAAATAAAAAGTCTAAACATAAACAAATTACTGTTTTATCTCCATTGTATTAAGTCCTCAAACGTTAGTTTTAAAATTTGAACAAAATCTTGCTTCTTCCTGATCAAATAAATTGGTTTTGTTGATCACTTTTTGGACAATTTTTAACCCCCCCCCCCCCCCCCCCCTATATAATACGTATAATAATATAAATACGTATAGCTATATTCTGTCAAAAGTACACAAGCGTAATCATTTGGAAACCCCCCTTCCCCCTCGGCTGATTACGTAATATGTGAACGACACCATATGAATGTGGCACTTTTAAAATTAGAGTAAGACATTTGTGGCATTAATATTTGGCATTACACTATACTCTTTGTAATATGTACTGTGTATGTCCTAAACTAGTGGTAAAGTTATGCAATTCGAGTTTTACTAATAGCTTATATTGCTTTTTAGTGTGGAAATAGTTTGAGTTACTTTTAAAGAAATCAAAATCTTATTACACAATTAAAACAGTATTTAAGGGGCACACAAAAATTAATCTGCTGACACAATTTCACCCAACGATTGTTAGAATTAGCTTGGAGTCATCTGAAAATATGAACTTGTTCCGAAACGTTAAAATCTGTTTATATAATATTTACCAATATAGATGTAGACATAAAACTGAATAGCTCGTTGATGAAGAACATGAAATATTAATTTAAAGAACCTCGGTATAAAAACAAACTGCACACGTTCTAAAAGTTAAGACAGAATCGGTCACTTGTTTGACTATCAAAAGGCTCTAGTTTTATGTAAGAAGTATGAGTAATCTTTGCGACATCCCAATCCTCAGAAAACTGCACCGAGGCATAACAGGACCATGCCACCAAAAAATGTGAATGATAAAGTAATATGTGAACGACCCCTGATGGTCCATAAATTATTCTATAAATTGTGTAATAATTCTCCTAGCAAATTATTCCAGCTTTTATGCAGATATTAATATATTCCCAACTAGTTGAAGGTTCACAACCCGTCACACTAAAGTGCTTTCCATCCTTTTATGAATTACAGTCTGATTGCGAAAAATACTGATAATTGAGCTTAATCTTGTTCATCTATACTTAGAAGTTGCTTTAGAATTAAGAACGAAACTTATTCATAACTGCAAGATTTCGACACCAGAACCAAAGTGTTACATTATAGTGCCACATTAGAGTGCCGCATGTTTTTCAGAGTGCCACATAGCCCACACTTTTTTTTCATAGTGTCGCAAAAGTACTTTTTTGAGTGTCGCAAGTTTATGTGGCACTAATGTGGTGTAAGGGTGCTCTCCCGGACTCGCAACCAGAAGGTAGGGAGTTCGATGCTTGAATTTGCACAAAATAATATTGTAACAGCTGGTTTATGGACCATGATGATAATACATTTTTTCAATGAAATTAAAAACACTCATTTTGTAAACTGAGTGATTCTAAACCGGGCAAATTTTCTGCAAACTATACTATACCGTGTTGACTATTGCCTCAACATCGTCAGTCAATCGAAGGCCGGACCGTCACGTCCACGCTTTACGCGCGGTGTTGAATTCGAATACAAAATAAGATCCTTTATATATCAAGACGGAGTTACAAAACGCGCGTTCCATTTATACCTCGTTTTTAGCAGTCTGAAGGACTAATATACAAAACCTTAACCGATGTTATAATCACTCCAAACAGTCTTCATTCTTCTGTAGTATATTTTAATATTTTTAAAGATATATAAGTCGAAGATGAAAAGTCCAATTCTTAGAGTTATAATTGGGCATATTCATAATAAATTGTTCATATTTACTGTCCTCAAATACAATACATATTAGTCACATTATTTATAACTTGAAGTAAGACAATGTCTAATTTGATTTCTCTGATTTCGGCTAGTTTAGCTGCAAGTTGCACCCCATGTATTTCCATAGACGGGCTTGTTGACCAAGGCGAGTTTCTGTGGAAGAGGTTAGCGTTCTTTGGTTGCATGCAGGGAGTGACGAGTGTCTGGCGTTTGTTTCTATAAGCAGCTTTTCTAATGGCACTTTTCAGGAGACCTCCGTAACATTAGTAGCTGATTTTAAGGTGACCAAACCTGCAACAGTATTTATTATGTATTATCAATTGTTTACTTGGGAACCGGTTTTTGGTACACCGGCCAATGTTTACAAAATTATATGATACATAACAATATAATTTTATTTAATATACCTTAGTTCGTTTAATTATGGCGGGTTAAATTCAGCGGTTTTCGGTAATTCCACCATATTACCCGCCATTATTTTTATACCCGCCATAATAAAACCCGCCGAGTCAACTTTTGGATTTCTGGCAGGGTATACGCATGCCATAATAATTTTATCGTTCCTATTTTACATTGAAACAAGCGTCACGAACTCACTTTCTAGGTATTCCGACCACAGCGATGTGGTTTTATTCAAATACTTTGGTTGTAATGACCTGTACTGTCAAACTGATTGATACCGTAAATACGTGGCGGGTAAAATATGGCGGATTTTCGGACAATCCGCTATATTTTTTCCCGCCAACATTTTACTCGCCACAATATTACCCGCCATAAATAAACGAACTAAGGTAAGTGAAAATAATAATTGAAAATTATGGTGTATCCTTTGCTTTATAATTTATTCTTAAAAATTAAAAACTTGCATAATCAAAACTTGCATATCATGATTTACTAAAACAAAGTAAAAATAAATTTGATTTGACTGAGTGGAGTTGGGTTAAAAACATATAAGAGATACGATGATTTAACTTGTAGAAGCTTTCAATAAACATGTGTTAATCGTCGTCAGCTGTTTGATTTGACTGTTTATAGGCCGACTGATCAATTACATTTGGGGCCATCTACTTAGAACGTCCGGCAAATAGGGAGGGGGTGGTTTCTGAAAATCCGGACGTCCGTAAATTTTATTTCAAATCTTTGAATTTTATTTCAACCCTTTGAATTTTATTAACAATGAATTGAGTTGGTTTTATTTGTACTCTTAAAAGTAGCTGGAAATCTGGATGTCTGGAGGAGGGTCGCCGGGATTGGTTTTGAAAATTCGGACACAACCGGACAGGGGGAAGTGGTCTGAAAATCTACGATTTTGGCGGACATCCTAAGTAGATGGCCCCTTGCACTTTTAAGTTACAAGGGTTGAAACTGGCCCGCAAGGTTTGTATGTCCTCAGCAAATTTTGTTAAGTTTCTTATAATTATCAGCTAATTTGCGATTAAAGATAAATGAACAGGGCAGAGTAGATAGTGCTTTGTTTCAACTGTAGTTAAACATAAGTAAATGAGCCCACGTCTTATCAGCACCTGCTAGCGCTATCATGACAGTGAAAAATGTGGAATTTGGTTGATAGTGAAATTTCACACCTTCTTCTTAAGGCTGGGGGTTCACCCTGAATTTTTTGTGAAACTTGGTTTCGAGATAGCAGTTGACCAACAAACTAGGACCGGTGACCGAACTTTTGAGGGGGTCCCGGACCCCAACCGCCAAACGGTGCCTGCGGGGCAGCCACGCCCATATTTGATCCAAATTAGGCCCAATTTAGCCAAATACCCTGAACATGCCCAAAACCCAGATTTTAGGTGCTCTACTTGTAGCTAGTGGTCCCCTGAACTCGTATATGAATTTTCATCAAGATTGGACAAAAAATGACTGAGTTATGAGCCAAAAACCATATGACCATATTTGGGCATACGCACCAAATTTGATCGATTTTGGCCCATAAATTGGTCAAATATCAATATTTTTGAATGAAACCAACTTTATATGGAAGATAAGCCTATACTACAGATTCTCTATGATTATCAGCTCAATATCTACCTAACTGTGGATTCTGTGTTCAAATAGTTGCAAAAAATGAACAAAATCGCCCATATCTCAGTTCGCGATATTTGCAAAACTGACTTCGCTCAAAACAATAGAACTCAATAGGGTTTCAATATTTTTTCATGAAATTTTCAGAATCAATGCAACGTAGAATCGCCTCATGACCTTAAGTTTTGTATTAGAATTTTGAGTTAGGCCTTTAAAAAAATTTGGCGGCCAAATTCTGAAAAATGCCCGGCAAATTTCAGAATTTGGCCGCCAAATTTTTTTTAAAGGCCTAACTCAAAATTCTAATACAAAACTTAAGGTCATGAGGCGATTCTACGTTGATTCTGAAAATTTCATGAAAAAATATTGAAACCCTATTGAGTTCTATTGTTTTGAGCGAAGTCAGTTTTGCAAATATCGCGAACTGAGATATGGGCGATTTTGTTCATTTTTTGCAACTATTTGAACACAGAATCCACAGTTAGATAGATATTGAGCTGATAATCATAGAGAATCTGTAGTATAGGCTTATCTTCCATATAAAGTTGGTTTCATTCAAAAATATTGATATTTGACCAATTTATGGGCCAAAATCGATCAAATTTGGTGCGTATGCCCAAATATGGTCATATGGTTTTTGGCTCATAACTCAGTCATTTTTTGTCCAATCTTGATGAAAATTCATATACGAGTTCAGGGGACCACTAGCTACAAGTAGAGCACCTAAAATCTGGGTTTTGGGCATGTTCAGGGTATTTGGCTAAATTGGGCCTAATTTGGATCAAATATGGGCGTGGCTGCCCCGCAGGCACCGTTTGGCGGTTGGGGTCCGGGACCCCCTCAAAAGTTCGGTCACCGGTCCTAGTTTGTTGGTCAACTGCTATCTCGAAACTAAGTTTCACAAAAAAATCAGGGTGAACCCCCCCCCCTTAAAGGACCAGTTAACTGAAAAATTTGTAGTCTCAAATTTGGCTAAGATTTAAATCAGCTGTGACAAACTGGTAAAGAATCGTATCGCCGAAAGAACCAACTCTCTAGCGTACTTGTAACGCGTGTTATTGCAAAAATAAGCTGTGGCCTCGTGACGTCATAAAGTCCCTCAGTGCGCGCTTGCATAGCGTAATTTACATTACAAATGTTTATCAATAGTCCCATTACCTTAGTATTGCTGTTCCACTACTAAACAAATGTTTATCATCGTCAATAAAACACGTGTAACTCACTCAAATTTTAGAATTATGACTATTAGCCTAGTTCTCCAAAATCCTTATAGTTTTGGCTATCATTCTAACTAAAGGAATAGCTGATTGGATGTACAGTGCTCACGTCATGATTTTAAACAGTGATATAGGTTCTTGAACAGTGGCGGGTGAATGTACGGTTAGAAAGTTTCTGCTATTACAACTTATGTCATATGTGATAATTTTGGATTGTTTTCATTGCTTAATTACACAAGCAGCTAGGGAGACTGTGCCGATTATTTTTCCCCAGTCCATGAAACTCTAACGAATTTAGAAAGGATCTAGATAAGTAGGAGTTTATTCAATTCCGAGAGCAATTATATTTATAGCATAGCGAAATTTATAACTTTAATCCGCATGTGTCAGCCAGCACAGGAGACAAGAAGTCTGGCTACTTTACGGCCGTTCCTCTGGGACCATTAGTAGAAGTAGCTTCTATCAGAACAGTGCCGTGGGAACAGAATTCCCGCCAAAATACCCGGTCTCGGGTCTACCAAATAGTAATACTGATTGGACTTGGAGTGTACGGTGTGCGGTGTGTCTTGAATTAGACTTACGGCTTACCTAGTTGTTATCCTAATTGCATTATCATCGGTACATAACATAAATAAACTACTGGTAAGTTTAAATACCAAGTGCAAACGTGTTCAGTCAATCGACCCACTGAACAACTATAGAATTTCCAAGACCCTATTATTCTCTGGCCATATATTACGGCACGATCGATTGTTAGATGGCTAAACGACCAACGTTAATCTATATAATTCTAAAACTATGAGCTAGCACTTTAATCTAAAAATACACTTTTTATATTACTCCTGATTTTTACATTTCACGTAAAACATTGTCGCCACAGGTTGATCATGGACACTAACAGCTTGATTTGAGATAAATGACTAATGAGTTTCTCTAAAGTTAACTCTAAAGTTGTGTAGTCCAGTTATTTATGGACATTTATGGAAATGAACCTGCAAATATTCAAATACTCACGAAACTTTGCACAGACCTTCCCGAAGGTATGAATAAACGATTTTCGTTTGGAGACATTTTTTTTACCGTGGAGAAAACCCAGGAGGGCCACGCCCATATTGACCCAATAACGTAACCGACCTCTTGCTTCTGAAGGTCGTAGAGACTTCAAAATAGGCTTAAACGAAGCCGCATATGCATGTTTATATAGTGTTTACTTTTCGAAAAATTCGCCAAAAACCATTTTGGGCGTGGTGCTGAGCCCATTTTCGATAGGATCGTGATAGAGTCTTTAGACAGGGTGCAAAAGAACCGCACATATTAATATATGACTTACGAACAAACATATGCCTTAAAGTGCTTACTTTTTCATTTATTGGCGAAAAACTGATTTTCGGTTCCAGAAATCATGCAAAACTATGGATATCTGGTAAATTGGGCTATGAAGGCCCTAAAGGTTTTTGAATGTGTGCAAATTGTGCAGAATGGCCATGTTTATATACATTATACAACTTATGAAGCAACATGTACCCTAAATTACTTACTTTTCGAGTTATTCGGGGAAAAACATTGTATTATGTCCATTTTCTACCTGTAAAATACAGTCTCACGAGCTCTTCTGCGCGCGCAAGGGACTTTATGACGTCATCGCCAAAATAATACAAACGCTATTTACACGCGTTAGAGAAGCAGTTAGAGATTTAGGAATTTCGACACGTTGCTTAGTTTGCTATTTGTCACAATCTGTCAAAATATGAGGATAACTTTTTTTTCAGTTAACTGGTCCTTTAAGATGGCTGCATCTGTTTGATTATCAATGACTTTCATCATTTGACTGAATATACCAAACTCGTTCGGTAGTTAAGATAAGAACCGATTACCACATTATAAGACAAATTGTTGCTTACCTGCAGCACTGATATAATGTTCCATCTTGTTCTCTGCAGTTTTCTGTGATCCACTTTAGCTATGTAAATGAATTCTGTGATCTTTAGGTACTTTAGTCTGAAAATACATGTACATGACAGCTCGAAAATAGAAATAACCAAATAGGATAAAAAATAAAGGAAAACTGATGATTTAGAATGGTAACAATCATAACTATTTATACCAGTTACCAATAAAAGACAAAAGCCATTCCTTACCCCCTTCTTCTAATAGTGGGTGACCCTATAATTGGCTATCGAAGTATTCGAAGACAAGTTTTCAAAAATTAAGATAAATACTTTGTAGCACATGCACAGGGTGGGCAAAAAAAGAGCAGCAAGATACATTTTGGTCCACCATGTTTTTAATTTAACCATGTTTTTAATTTAATTTTAATGTAATATTCTGGGTTATATCAGATGACACGATTGTGAGTCCAGATGAAAAGTAGTGGAGTGTGTGTAAGCGCTCTTGGTGTGTGAAACGGTTCTTTAAGTTGGCATCTTAGATGTAAAAATTCATGCTCTGGAAGTCACATTGTGCTGTTTAGGACCGCTTTTTATTGAAGAAAATGGTTCGTTAGGCTGAAAAATGCAAAGATCTGAAAATAAGCTATCTGAAATATTTGCTATTCTTCCTAGCCAAATTAATCGCCGGTCAAGTTGAAGGTCAGCACTCATGTGTAATTGTAATAATCGGGCGTCCTGAAAATCGAGTTTTCGAAATCATGAAAGTAAACATCATCGCATCCCCTCCCTATTTCAGCCCAAAGTGCATGAATCAATGGTAAATTGCATGAATCAATGGTAAAGTGCATGAATCAATGGTAAATTGACTTTTAATACATGTTCAATTGAGTCATAACTGTCTTTTTCTGCAGTTAGTTGTAATTGTGGAGGAAAGCTATACTATAAGATATACAATTAAGAAAAACTATTAACTAACCAGAAACACATTCAGTATTTTGCAGGTATATTAATCAGTAATAGTCACATCATAAAGTAAAGCATCTGGCTCTGTTTTGAGTTGGTGTTCACCACACTTTTCCACTGACCAATGTAAATCGTAGCACCGCTTCGTATCATATCCTAAAGCAGTTTAAACCAATAGTATTGCAATATATTTTTACTAAGCATATATCACATTAGAATCAACAAATTATTTTTCAATCAAAATGGAAATTTGATTCCTATGAACAATATCTCTGAAGCGCCATCCTACTTAGATTACTGTAATAGCTTTAAATACTTTGGAATTGGCAAGAGGCTATAACATCAAGTTCCATTTACTACAAAATGATCTAGCTAAAGCCAAAGATTTTAATAGGCCATCTAGAGGATGGACTGATCTATCTTTATTGGTTGGATATAAAGAAAATGATTGCACTCAAGATCTTGCAAGTTCTACAAGGATTGGCTCCAACTTATCTGCAAGATATGTTGAACAGATCTAAGATTAGTGTGGGTAGCTTCTCTGTAGTAGCTCCTACGAATGTACACTGTACAGGGGTGAGGGGGAGTCAAGGTATGAATTACTACCACCATTGGTTCGAATCGAAAAATATTCGTGTTTATTTCTTTTAAATGAAGGTCCATTTTCGCATTTATTTGATAGTTTGGATGAACCTAGAAGTAAACTTGAGGAAATATTCTTTGGTGAAAAAAAATTATTTGGTTGTTAGTGTTTTTATTATGGCAAGTGGTTTCAATTTAGGGGAATTTAATAAATAAAAAATAAATTCTAACATTTATTACACCCTTCGACATTAAAATATACCCAACAAAGATGTACGTTTAAGTCATTCAAGCGAGACTTAGTGTTGAAATACCAAGATTATGGACTTTTTATCAGTTTTAGTGAGACAAGGTCTGTTTCTCTATTTTCTAAGAAAAATTTCTACTTTACAGTAGGCAATGCTGAGTGGCAGGAATGAGGGACCAAAACGCTTGGGGCTAACAATGGCCCATCTACAAACCACTTCAGAAATGGCAATGATGTCATTTATATGCTTAATTCGTATGCACTTCTAACATTCTATAAAAATCTCTTCCTAAATAGTTATAAAGATACACAACAAAAAACACACAAATAAAATGTTTATATTCCATATATAAATGTCTATAGAACTTTCAAATTTCTATAAAACTGATAAACCTATGTATATATTCATTTTGCACCCAGAGAAAGATGTGATCACAGAGGTAGTTTCGATATTATGTTCATGACAAGGTATGGGGCTGCTGCATTTTACAGCTTTTGTAAGCTCAAGTAATCTAGGCAAGGTCAATTTCAAAGTTTTTGAATTTTGTCGAACACTGTTTAAGACTAAGTTCCAGTCATTTGGTTCTCCTTCCTTTTGAGTGGGAGTGATGGTTATTTTTATGGATGATTTGAGGTGATTGGGCTTACAGGTGACTGTAGTTAGCATGAGATTTTATCGTACTGTGTTCCAGATTGTCCCTGCTCTGTATAAGTAGCTAATGGTTTAGGTGTGAGAATGACTGTCTCTTAGCCAAGTCTGCCAGATGTTTCAAAGAGGGAGTAAAGTGATATAGGGGTTCTGTATTTCAAGACCTTGAAGATGTCATTTAATACAGTGGTAGAAGTACAGATTATGCACATTCATGATTTCATGAGTGTTGAAGAGTGTTGAAGAGGGGTTTAGTATGCTCTTTTCTGTAGAATTCGTTGCCCAGGATCTGCTCCCCGTAGGGTCTGCATCACGCACTAGTTTTAAATTTATCCAGGTATGCTTCTTTATCACCAAACATTGTGCGGGCACACATTTTCTGTGCTTTTGTTAGATACTCCTCCCCAGACAGTTATTCCATATGCAAGATAGCTTTCAAACAGAGTGTGATACAGATCTTTAAGGAGTGATGTGGGAATGTTATCTTTAATTCTATTTAGCATGCCACAGTTTTAATACTTATTTACCTCTAGATGTTCATTCCAGTTTAGGTCTTCACCGACTGTTACGCCTAAGAATTTAGTTTCATGTAGTCTCTCCTAAGGTGTCACATTTCTTAATTACTATAGCCAAAATTTCAGAAGGAAAATAATTTAAAGGATATATCTGTCGTAGTAGAAGCTAGGGAGGCATTTACAATTATTATAGCCTCCCAACCTTTATGAACCACCTGTAAAGGTACAGTATTCAATCTGCAAAGCAACAACTCACAAAAATAAAACACCCAACATGTGTACTGACTTTTGCCCCCCCCCCCCCCCTCTGGCCCCCCCGCCCTGTACAATCGTCTGGATTCTTTTGAAGCTCTTCTAAAACCTTGCCTTATTAGACTGTCCCTTCACGAACTTGAGAAACTTTATCAATAAGTTATTTTAGTCATATTTTGTGTAGGATCTTCAATTTTTTTAAATGAATAAATGTATGATCGAATGATACGAATGCAGCCGAATGATAGAAAACTTCCCCTTCAGTGCATACTTTAAACATAGTACTATTAACTATTAACAACTTTAAGACCTCCTTTGATATTTTGAAATGGCCACAACACATATCAATATTTTTATTTCTCTAATTGCTAATTCAGTGAAATCTTGCATTTGTAAGAGTCATGTAGCTGTAAAGGATCAATGTAACCCGATTAAGTATGATGACGAATTATGTTGAAGTCTGAAGATAATATAAGAAATACGTCGCAAATTATAAGTCGACTTTTGAGAATTAAGCAGCACAAGATAAAAAACGATTGGAACACATAAATCAGATTATATGAAAACGTACTTAACAATTAAATTACATATCGAAAAAAAGATAACCAAACAGACTAAATATTAGTTTTGAAATGCAAAGATATCACTCAAATACTATCAATGATACTATAACGTACATGTGTGATTCATGACAGTATTTGCTTGTGCGCTCGATTTTCATACTGCGGAGTTAATTTTCGGAAATACGCGCGGCGCGTTTAGAGTTTTAATTTAATTTTAACATGATTTTTGCCGGAATTATTTTGATACATTTAATGTTTAAATTTACCTGGGGACCCCAGGCTATTATATTTATGTTCATAACCATATTATTTAGCGGAATGACAGGATGGCACGAGCTAGGAAGTAACGCGCGCCGGGCCAAACCATTAACAATGGTCAACGTGCAACGTAAAATAATTTAATAAGCTATTAAATTATATATATATTAGCACTTTTTTAAATTTCTTCTTGCAAATCTATTTTTGTTCATAACTATGAGCTGAATTTTATAATATTATAAAGTAACAAGTAACATCGCGTGCGAAGGGGAAACACTATTATTGATTATACAAAATAAAAATTAAAATAAAATGGACCCATCCGATCTAATCAGCAATTGCTTGCCCAAATTTTAAGAAAATTCTTGCGAAAAGGCCTTTTAGGTATTGGTATGGGATTAGGGTTTTTGTAAAACCGTTTTGTACGGCTGCAAAACCAATATCACAAAAACCAAAGTCACGTGAAATTTTTGGGCGAGCGAATTAGTAGAAGCCCAGTACAGTTTAATAGTTAATCGTAGGTTAAGGTCAGGGTTAGCCGTTATAGGGTTAGTATTTAATTAGGGTTAAGCAATCAAATTCAAAGAAACATAACATTAACGGGCGGCGGGCCGCAGGTGTTATTGTTATTTGAAGTAGAATAAATATTAGATCGACGTGGGCTCGTTATATTATAGTTGTGCCCGGTCCAATTTGTAGGTTTATAACTTACCAATACCATGCATCAAGACCCGCGCCGAGTTGGACTCGTCGTTACCTAGGTTGATTGACGATGTCAATCCGTCAAGATCGTTGCTCTGCGAAGCAGAGCAACGATCGACGAAGCAAGAATGCTAGTTCGCGCGGCGCGTCGAAGCGGCAAAGTCCTCCAATTACCTGGGGACCTCAGGCTATCATGTTCATAAAGAGATTAGGCGGAATGACAGGCTGAGCGCGGCCCAGTAAGACTCGTCGACGGTCCTATTTGGACGGTAATATTTATGGAACACATATTTTACAAGTATCGATCACCCGTTAAGGTCCAATTTATCGTTTTGAATAAATGTTAAACTGTTGATTGCTTTTTTGCTTTTGTAATTGTTAAATTAAAACAGTTTAACTTTAAATTGTCGGCAGCGGATGTTTTTTATTGGTTATTCTGAATTTTAAATGCTTCCCCACACCCCATTATAATTAATCGAAAGGGGTTATTCGTACAGTTACAGTATAAGTATTATTATATCACGATCACGGTACACTTATTATAAGTATAAAACATAGTTATAACAGGCAAAATTGGACATGACAACATTGACATTTAAATAAATTAAAATGTCAAGTTTGTCGTAAGGCAGGGTTAGTCGTTTAGTTTTTGGCGAAAGCTTGTTAAGGGATGGGGTTGTGCCGCATTGCAATGCCAATGCATATTATAGATAAAAATATTTGTATCATAATTTTAAGATTATTATGTACAAAAAGGTTAATTTCATGTCAGTCAGACTCAGACTCACAATCGGAGGCACACAGAGAGGTATTTATATTCGATGAGCCTTTGTTTTGTAGTTGACCGATGATCACAATTGTAATACAATCATGTCATCTGTAATTTGTAATCGTATGTAATTATGGTTGATATATATAATAAGAACACTGATCAATTCAAGCTTAACAAGCCAAATTATGATTGAAATCATCAAACAAATTAATATCGTCTTTAGCGTTATTTATGATTGCTGAATCGCAGTATGAATCGGGCAGAATTATATTTCACGTCTCACGATATAATCGTAAAAATCAATTTTATAACTTAAAGTTGAAATATCAACCAGTTCAGTTGATGATTCTTGCAAAAAAAAGCAGTATTGTACCTAACTATGCAGCATATTGGAACCGTAAGTGCCACATGTGAGTGCCGCAAGTGTCGCATGCTGCATATGATAGTGCCGCAAGTGCCACATGTGAGTGCCGCAAGTGCCACATGCTACATATGATAGTGCCACAAGTGCCACATGTGAGTGT